CTGTAACTTTCCCAAACTCCATAAAACCTGTACATAGGGGTAGAGTTGTTCTCATAAGACATCGCTGAACACAAATATGTGTATTTTATCACAGCAAAACCCAACAGTATTATGACATTCAAAATTAAATTAAAATGCCATGCAGAACATGGAAAATAAAATGTCTTTATTGCTTGAACTTTTTTAGAATTTTTTCCCTAGAAATTATGTTTCATGCATAAATATTTGATGTGAAATGAAAGCTCCATTTCTCCAGAACAAAATGATATATAATAAGTCTTGGTGCCCTTAATATGAAAAAGGTAAATTGTGGTTGAACAAACATATAGCTTAAATTCAAGGTTTTGTTTTGGCTCCGAACTTGTACAATTGCCTCCATCCTTAAAGAGTAAAATAATAGATTTCAGTACTTGAATAAGTAGAATTTTCTATTAACTATAAAAAGAGATATTTTGAAAAATGTAATTTTAATATATTCAGGACAATAATATTTAGAAATAATGGGACTGAAATATTTAAGACATTTTATTAACAATGAAAGAGAGCCAATTATCAGGTTATAATAGAAAATATGCTCAAAGACACACTGTAACAAACCAAAATATCCACATATTTTCATACATACACTTTTTAATTCTTTACTTTTAAAAAGTGAAGTAGTATTTTACAACACTAATTAAATATATATATATATATAAATTCAAGCTTTTGATAGTTTTCTTAAGGTTAGAAGTGATATTGATTGAATTGACAGGAAACTCTCAAAAGATTGTAATTTAAATGTGTATTTCTATTGCAAAAATATTCAGTCCCTGGATCAATTCTCACTTTTCAGTGGAGAACAGTCTATATATTTATTTGTGGGATGGGTTTATCTGGCCTATAAATTCACAGGCCTCCCCTTCCTCTGGGTTGAGACTTCCTGGTTCAAAGGTCATCAACACAAACTATCTGAACTCCAAACAAACAAGCAGATCTTTGCCTAGTGAGGCATATGCAAGTATTCATTTTACCTCATTTGAGAAAAAAAAACAAAAAAAAACAGCGCTCCCTCGAAGCTCCTAGGGCACTGCCACATCCAGCCCTGCCGTGGCTTTTCCTGTTGCTGTTCGCGTAAGTTTGTTCATTTTGGTCCGTGTTGGGCCACACTATCATAGACATTCCACATGTATTCAGCCCACATTTGGCCTTTCACTAGCCAGGGTGGCATTAGCATTTCAGTCCGTATTACTTCCTCACTCGGATATGGCAAATTTCACTACTAATGCAAATACGGCTTATTTCAATCACAGCATCACAGTAATACCTCAATTCAGTTCATGCATTATGCTAACTGTATTTGAACATATCGTATTTTATAATATGCAATTTAGTTAGTCACCCTACGTTTTTTGGATAATAAATGCTATGCCATATTCTGTTTTCATATTTGTAGCTTATTGTCAGCCCACATGGCCTCAGTTATACTTGTCAGCATTTGTTACTTATGTTCCCCCGGCCTCAGCACCTATATGTATTTTTTCATTAGTATTCAGGCAGTCATAGGGCCTTCACTGTTTAGTAATTATGTGGCAAAGTGTTGCTACTGACTGTCTAAATTTATGTCAGGCCCAAACTTGAGCCTATTCATGTGTTCAGCATTTATGATAAAGCTTATTAATAATCTGTTTTATTTCACTGTCTGTCAATACTTACATTGTTTTAGCCCTTTTTGGACTCAGCACAGGCTTAGTTAATCGTACTTATCAACAACACAGGTACGTTATCTCAATTAGCACTTGCATCATCCTGGACATTGTGCCTTTAGGTTTTAGGTTTTAGCTAATTTCTTTGCCATCCAGCACTTAGCGATCTGCCAGTTGATACAGGGCTACACTCACATCGAGATGCCCATTACATTTACTCATTTGTTATTCATCCTAGTATGTGTCTCACCATAGAACTAAAATAGGTTATTGCATCACCAAGTACCCCGCCAGGCCCTCTACCCCAGCTAGTCCATTGTACTCTGGTCAAGTACCAGGATACTACTAACACAGCTCCTAGCTGCTGCCAAACTCATGCATAAAGACTTACCATTCCCAGCAACAGTACTGAAGCCAAGCTGTACAGACTCATGATTGTCAATTCTAAGCTCCCCAGCTGGGTATCTGCACCTGTGCAAATTTCACAGACAACATGGCAGAGATGCATGCTATGATGACATCCATCCTTTCATCATAATTATGTTCTATGATAGTCTGGATAGTAATAAGACATTAATTTGGTCTCCTCGTAGATTGCCTGACTTAATTCTAAAGTAGTTCCCTGCAACATGCCACAGTGAACGTCTCTGTGGCATTTGCTCGGTATTAAATGGTAGGGGTATTTAATTTGCCACTCGATCTATAGCAGCCCTAAACTATTCAATGTATTTGTGGTAACCCTCTCATGGCTGCTATTGATGGTCTGTGTAAACATTCTAATTGTTTTGGTGCTAAACTGCTAAATAGTACATTTTGGGGCGTGCTCTTCATATCTGAGAGTCAAATCGAAGTGTCTAATAGTGCTGTAATGATATTGATGTTACAAAGTTTTGGAGTCCAGTAGCCAGATCAGCAATGTTTTCTGCCAGAGGTAGCCACTCGTTACCCAGGTGGTTGAGCCTCTGAGCCTTGAGTGGCCTTCTGGTCTTAAGCAGAGATGGGAGACTGGAACAGAAAGATGATAATCGTAGTGAGGCAAGCCGAGGTCAGTGGGAAGGAGAAGCAGCAAAGTCAAAACAGTCCAAATTCAGCAACAGGAAGGAGAAACAGGAACACGCTGGATTAGAGAGTACAGGAACCACAATAATCTGGCAAAGGTACAGAGACAGGAAGTGGCTTTTATAGGCCAAGGACCAGACACCTGACCAGACACAGCTGAAGTGAGTTGTCACTGATAACCTTGACTCTACAAACAATAGTATCAGATCTCAGGTAAATGTGCAAAAGGCAGGTTGGTGTACTGGTAAGGAAAAGGTTTAGCACCATGTAAACCAGGGTTCGAAACCCAGCAGAGTCAGTTCCTCACAAGTGCGCTTACAACGCAGTTGTAAACATTCTAATAGTTTTGCTGCTAATCTGCTAAATAGTAAATTTTGGGCGTGCTCTTCATATCTGAGAGTCAAATCGACTTGTAAACATTCTAATTGTTTTGCTGCTTATCTTCTAAATAGTACATTTTGGGCGTGCTCTTCATATCTGAGAGTCAAATCGAAACGTCTAAAAGTGCGCTTACAGCGCAGTTGTACACATTCTAATTTTCTGGGTGCTAATCTGCTAAATAGTACATTTTGGGGCATGCACTTCATATCTGAGAGTCAAATAGAAGCGTCAAATACTGCGGTGACAGCACAATTGTAAGCATTCTAATTGTTTTGCTGCTAATCTTCTTAATAGTACATTTTGGGCATGCTCTTCATATCTGAGAGTCAAATCGACTTGTAAACATTCTAATTGTTTTGCTGCTTATCTTCTAAATAGTACATTTTGGGCATGCTCTTCATATCTGAGAGTCAAATCGCAGCGTCTAGCGCTTACAGAGCAGTCTAATAGTGCGCTTACAGAGCAGTTGTAAACATTCTTATTTTCTGGGTGCTAATCTGCTAAATAGTACATTTTGGGCGTGCTCTTCATATCTGAGAGTCAAATCGAAGCGTCTAATAGTGCGCTTACAGCGCAATTGTAAAAATTCTAATTTTCTGGGTGCTAATCTGCTAAATAGTACATATTGGGGCCTGCTCTTCATATGTGAGAGTCAAATCGAAGCATAACTTTGATTCGAATTTACTACATCGGTCACTTGTAATATTGTTTCACACCTACAACACTTGTTACACAGATCTAAGTGATAGAAAACAGATATTTTCTACACTAGAAACTACCAGATAACAAGCTGCTATATTTAAACCAGTTATCAATAGCTAAGAGGTACCTAAACAATATTGTAATTTTGGGGCAATACCCTCACAGGTCAGTTTACAGGGAAAACTGTTGCCTGGATACAATTCTAAAATAATTTCCATATGTCCTTTGCAGACTTTGTGTTCTGGAAAAACACAGGTGCCAACTGCTGTGGCTTTCGGCAGTGTGCATAGCGGCAAGGAGGGTAGGGTTGAGGAGTGGGTGGAAGATGATGTGGAGGATGATGAGGTCCTACACCCCACATGGAATCAAGGTCATGCGAGTGACGTGTGCAATTTGGAGGAAGAGGCGCTGGTCGCACAGAGGCACCAGCACAGCATAATAGGGAGCAGGGTGCAAAAGCAGAGCGGCCGTCCCCTAGCACTCGTCGGCATGTATTATCTTTAGAATGCCCACAGTTATCCAAGTAACAGATGGAGCAATAAAAGGAACCATAACAGATTTAACAAGCCATTCGCAGTCCAGTGACGGGGACCCAGACACTTTCTGGGCGGCGGTCGGACGACCGGGACCCAGTATGCCTGATGTAGAAGTTAGGAGTCACAGTGTGGAATGGATTAGCAGGGTCTGGTGCAGGGTAACCACACGCCCCCTGGTGTTGAGCACTAGCGTTTGTGCGGCCACATACCAGGACCCTGATGCAGCTTCAGTAAAAAGAGTACTGGATACCAGAAGCCATCACCAGACTGATCCTCAACTTGGAACAGGATGTGACAATCACTTGCTGTGCATGCTTTCGGCGTTCTCACCCTGCTGCTGCTCGCCTGTCTTTGCTGCAGCGTAACTTTGGCCTTTCCGCTCACTGCCTCATATGCGACGTGCCCACAAGGTGAAACTCCACCTTGCACATGCTGGAGAGACTGTTTGAGCAGCAGCAGGCGATAGTGGAGTTTCAGCTGCAGCACGCACGGGTCAGTGGCTCTGCACCAGACTTCCCTCCAATTGATCAGAGTTAAAGGATTTCAAGTGGACTCATTACAATTACAGGGCCTCTAAAGAGTCCTGTATTATTATTTGTCGTCACTACCTTCCCGCGTCGGGAGTGGGTCATTTGCCCGCCTGCTGCCTTCCTTGCATGTGGTAGCCATTTGTCAGGGTCCCTGTACGGAATCGAACCCTGATTCCCTGTTACCCGTGGTCACCATGGTAGGTGCAGTCAATGGCATCGAAAGTTGATATGGATTGACATACGAATGCGTCGTCGCCTTTGGCTTGATGGGAGTTGAGCCAGTTCTGGGTGGCCCTTGTGATGCCATGGCGAATACCCAGATATATCAGAGCTGCTGCAGAAAGTGCAGGCCATCTGTGCGTGCTTTTGGCATTCTCACCATGCTGCTGCTTGCCTGTCTGCACTGCAGTGTAACTTCGGCCTTCACGCTCACCGCCTCATGAGACTGTGTGAGCAGCAGCAGGCGATAGTGAAGTTTCAGATGAAGCACGCACGGGTCAGTTGCTCTGCGGAACAGTTTTCTTTTTTTATATGTCCCAATATTTTGAGGGCTACCCCAATTAAAATAAAAAATAGATATATATAAACAGTGTTGGCTACCTCCTCCTCCTCCACCGCCGCTTTCACCTACACCACCACGGTCACCGCATCATCAACCTATGGGTCACTTAGTATAAACTATGTACACAATAGCAGAGGCTTGTGAAGGCCTTTTCTCCATGCATCAGGACTGCAAGAAATGCACCGCAGGCTGCAAATGTTTCTTTTTTTGTATGTCCCAATATTTTGGGGGCTAACCCAATTAAAATAAAAAATAGATATATAAAACAGTGTTGGCTTCCTCCTCCACCGCCACGGTCAGCACCTCCTTAACCGATGGGTCACTTAGTATAAACTATGTACACAATAGCAGAGGCTTGTGAAAGCCTTTTCTCCATGAATCAGGATTTGAGCATTTCTCCATGCATCAGGACTGCAAAAAATCCACCGCAGGCCGCAAATGTTTCTTTTTTTGTATGTCCCAATATTTTAGGGACTACCCCAATTAAAATAAAAAATAGATATATAAAAAAAGTGTTGGCTACCTCCTCCTCCTTCACCGCTGCTTCCACCAACACCGCCACGGTCACCACCTCCTCAACCTATGGGTCACTTAGTATAAACTATGTACACTATAGCAGAGGCTTGTGAAGGCCTTTTCTCCATGCATCAGGAGTTGAGTTCAGTTTGAACAATGAAAGAGAATACCTTGCACTCCAACCTTCTCTCAAATGGATAATTCTGTTGATCCTCCTGACAGCCATGCTTTAGATTTTGATTTATGTTCTCCAAAGCTAAAATCAAAGATCCCATCTAGTGGTATTTTATGGCTCAGCTGTATTTTTAAGTAATTTCCCTATACACATTTGTTTGCAGGGCACTTGTCCTACTCTTACCTCCTTTTTTGCTTCCTTTTGCAGCCCTCTAGCCCTTTCCAGGACTTTTTTAGAGGGGTCAAATTCGATCACGAATCCAGACTTTTTTTCAAAGTTCGTCCGAACACGCCGGACCTGAACATCCATACTGTACATCCTGTGCTGGGAATTGTGGGAACCGCAAGGGAGCATGAGAGAGACATGCTCCTCCCTCCTTCCATCCTCAACATTAGTGACATGCTCCAGCGTGGAACGCAGCCAGTCCCCTCTGTCTTCTCTTGATAAATGGGAGGGAGGAAAATATAACAGAATGGGGGAATAGATAGAGGCAGGGGAAGAGGGAAGAAACAGACAGTGGGAGAATAGAGAGAGACACAGGGGGAGGGGAAGGAAAGAGACAGAGGGGGAGAGAGAGTGACAGGGAAAGGACGGAGAAGGAGACAGAGGGGGAAGAGTGATACACAGGAGGAGAAAGAGGGGGAATAGAGAGATGGTGAAGGGGGGAGAAAGAGACAGAGGGGAAGAGATGTGGGGTAAAGAGAGACACAGGGAAAGGGGGAGAAAGGAGAGAGACACACAAGGGGAGGGGGAGAAAGAGGCACAGGGGGAAGAGAGATTGGGAAGGCGAGGGGAGACATGGACACAGAGGAGCAGTGAGGGGGAGAAAGAAACATACAGAGGGACTGGGGGAGACAAAAAGGCACACAGAGGGGCTGTAGACATCACTGGTGGATCCCCCCCAGCCGATCTCTCTCCCCGGTCTGCAGGCAGCCAACAGGGGAGTGAGGAAGAGAGGACCCGGGAGCTCAGCCTGCAGCCAGCCCACAGGCCAGCAGCCAGCCACAGGCCAGTAGCCAGCCCACAGACCTACAGCAAGCCACAGGCTTACAGCCAGCAAGCCCACAGCCTGGCGGCAGTAGCCAGCACGCCCACAGCCTGCTGGCAGTAGCCAGCAAGCCCACAGCCTGCCAGGAAGCCACAGCCTGCCAGCCGCAGCCAGCAAGCCCACAGCCTTCCAGCAAGCCCACAGACTGCCAGCCAGCAACAGTAATTAAGGTAAGAGGAGCCAACTTGGCCTAGGTATCAGCGAGCTACATTGTGTTGCTATATTGTAAATAGGAGCCAGAGTGTTGGAGAGACCCCCCTCCAGTTCCCATTAGACTCCATTGTAGTCTCTAATGGGGCCTGGAGGAGATTCTAACACACTCTCTAAAGGACACTGAGAAAGCCCCTGCTAGAAATACCTCCCCTCCATGGCCCATTAGCCCTCAATTGTAGTTTCTACTGGGGCCTGGAGGCGACTGTTTCCAGCGGAGGCTCTCTAATGGACGCTGAAATGGCCTCTGCTAGAAAGACCCCCTTCCAAGCCTATTAGACGCCATTGTAGTCTCTAATGCGGCCTGGAGGGGATTCTTTCTAACACACTCTCTAAGGGACACTGAGATAGCCTCTGCTAGAAAAACCCCACTCCATGGCCCATTAGCCCTCAATTGTAGTCTCTATTGGGGCCTCGAGGGGATTATTGCATTTCTTTTCCTTGTGTCTAAAGATTGTGTTGGGTGTGGCTGGGACAAGGGTTGGGCTTGCTGTGGAGCATGGGTGGGGCCTGTAAGGGGGCCCTTGATTTATTTTGCCTGGGGGCCCTGAGGGTTCTCAGTCCGCCCCTGATTACAATAAAGCACAAATAAATAAAAAATCCCATATAAAAGTAATTTTTTTTATACATTGAGTTACTTAAAAGCAGAGCTATAGGTTACATGCATAGGTATTGGTAAGCATTAGAATCTTATGCTGCTGTTTGATAACTACATTTGTCTGTTAGATTTAAAAATAGGCATTATAACAATGATACCATTTAATAGATGAACTAATTATTCTCAGGTTTTTAAAAGGTTGTGCCCAAAATTATGTATTCTACTTTGGAGGGACAGGCAGTGGCCTTTTGTGAGAGCATTCGTTTCATCTATAAATAAATGGTAGCTTTAAAATTTGCTGTCACAAAGATAATGGGAATTAATTTAAGGGCGGGTGTACTCTAAAGGATGAATACTTTGCTGAGTTACAAATTATATGCTTTCAATAGAAAATGGAAAAACTTACTTGTCCATAGACCGAGTTTAATTCCTAGTTCCAAAAGCAAAATGTATGTTTCAATGCTTTACTTTCATGGTATATTTTCCACAAAATCAGGAATCATAGGTGTGCTCAAAGGATGTTCAGGCACACCTTTATCAAATTGCCCTCCAAGTCCACTATTTATGGGCACTTTTGCATGAATTTAGGTTAACCTTTTTTGTTTTTAAAGAAATAAATCATGACTATTTCATGGCATGGAACAATATGCTTTAACATACGAAAAGACCTGCGAGTCACTGAAATGTATTTTATTATTGCTGACAAAGAAAAAATAATACAAAAAACATTTTAATGGCAAAATTCAGGCTGAAATAGCCAAACTGTTACTATAGCAGACTTGGAAAATATCTCCATATTTTTGCCACTCAGATTTCAATTTACTGTTATCCAGAATTCAGTAAATAAACCCCTAATTTTTACTAAACTACAATGTGAATTTTGTATCTCATTTTTAATTTATAGTTTTTAAGTAAAATTTTGATTATAGTTTCTCTGGGTGCACAGCATAATGCAGGGTACTGTGTACATTTATGACAAGAATTGTGCATGATTGACAAGAGAAAATAAATGATTAGCCCAAAACTGGAAAACAAAAGCAATAGCTTATCTGGACAATATTTCCAGCCTGGCTATTTTGGGCTAAAGTGAGAATGTATAAAACATTTATGGGATCATGAATTGAGGAAATGTATTTATTTTAAATAAAGCAAATATACAATATATAGTATCAAATGAAACATTAATGTTTGCTTGTGTATTAAAGCGGCACTGTCATAGCTGCATCTGTTTTTTTTTTTTTTAACCCCCCTCCCGACTCTAATACATCTAAGAGCCCCCTGTTCACCCCCAAATACCCCTAAGCCCCCCATATTACCTATATTTAATGTTTATTTACTGCCCGGACCGAGGTCCTGGGCGTCACGATCTTTGTGTGGATAAATGAAGTCCCTGTGGGACACGTCATCTGCCCACACTAGATAGCGCTGTGAAATTCCCGCTCATGCCCAGTTAAACACTTGGGCATGCAAATGGGAATTTAATCTATTCATTCGTCAGAAAGGCGATTGAATAGAAATTTCAAACGTACAAACAAAGACTGAATGTTGGTGTACGCTTGTTCTTTTGTTTATTACAAGGAGGGAGCTGCCGGCTTGCACCTCCCTCCCTGTAGTATGTAGTATGTAAAAATAGAAGGGTCAGGGAGCTGTGCTCCTCGCTGCTTCCTAACCTACCACATGTCCTCCCTCACTCTATAGGGGTCAATATACAGGGAGTGCAGAATTATTAGGCAAATGAGTATTTTGACCACATCATCCTCTTTATGCATGTTGTCTTACTCCAAGCTGTATAGGCTCGAAAGCCTACTACCAATTAAGCATATTAGGTGATGTGCATCTCTGTAATGAGAAGGGGTGTGGTCTAATGACATCAACACCCTATATCAGGTGTGCATAATTATTAGGCAACTTCCTTTCCTTTGGCAAAATGGGTTAAAAGAAGGACTTGACAGGCTCAGAAAAGTCAAAAATAGTGAGATATCTTGCAGAGGGATGCAGCACTCTTAAAATTGCAAAGCTTCTGAAGCGTGATCATCGAACAATCAAGCGTTTCATTCAAAATAGTCAACAGGGTCGCAAGAAGCGTGTGGAAAAACCAAGGCGCAAAATAACTGCCCATGAACTGAGAAAAGTCAAGCGTGCAGCTGCCACGATGCCACTTGCCACCAGTTTGGCCATATTTCAGAGCTGCAACATCACTGGAGTGCCCAAAAGCACAAGGTGTGCAATACTCAGAGACATGGCCAAGGTAAGAAAGGCTGAAAGACGACCACCACTGAACAAGACACACAAGCTGAAACGTCAAGACTGGGCCAAGAAATATCTCAAGACTGATTTTTCTAAGGTTTTATGGACTGATGAAATGAGTGAGTCTTGATGGGCCAGATGGATGGGCCCGTGGCTGGATTGGTAAAGGGCAGAGAGCTCCAGTCCGACTCAGACGCCAGCAAGGTGGAGGTGGAGTACTGGTTTGGGCTGGTATCATCAAAGATGAGCTTGTGGGCCTTTTCGGGTTGAGGATGGAGTCAAGCTCAACTCCCAGTCCTACTGCCAGTTCCTGGAAGACACCTTCTTCAAGCAGTGGTACAGGAAGAAGTCTGCATCCTTCAAGAAAAACATGATTTTCATGCAGGACAATGCTCCATCACACGCGTCCAAGTACTCCACAGCGTGGCTGGCAAGAAAGGGTATAAAAGAAGAAAATCTAATGACATGGCCTCCTTGTTCACCTGATCTGAACCCCATTGAGAACCTGTGGTCCATCATCAAATGTGAGATTTACAAGGAGGGAAAACAGTACACCTCTCTGAACAGTGTCTGGGAGGCTGTGGTTGCTGCTGCACGCAATGTTGATGGTGAACAGATCAAAACACTGACAGAATCCATGGATGGCAGGCTTTTGAGTGTCCTTGCAAAGAAAGGTGGCTATATTGGTCACTGATTTGTTTTTGTTTTGTTTTTGAATGTCAGAAATGTATATTTGTGAATGTTGAGATGTTATATTGGTTTCACTGGTAATAATAAATAATTGAAATGGGTATATATTTGTTTTTTGTTAAGTTGCCTAATAATTATGCACAGTAATAGTCACCTGCACACACAGATATCCCCCTAACATAGCTATAACTAAAAACAAACTAAAAACTACTTCCAAAAATATTCAGCTTTGATATTAATGAGTTTTTTGGGTTCATTGAGAACATGGTTGTTGTTCAATAATAAAATTAATCCTCAAAAATACAACTTGCCTAATAATTCTGCACTCCCTGTAAGCCCCATAATAGTTTAAGGGAGATTAAAATCTGTTGTGAACCCCCCATCTATTAAGTACCCCCCATCTATTAAAAAAGGACACCACCTATCTATTAACTAGTGGAGGGGACATAGTGCCCCCCCTCCAAGTCCCCACCCGTGCCCTGGGTTGATCTTTTTTTATTTTATAAATTCGACAGGCTTTATGGTTTTTAATTTGGCCTTTTTGGGGGCTGAAAAAAGATTTTAGAAAAAAGAAGACTTTAAATGGTAAGTATTTTTATTTACAGGGGCTTAGTTTTATTGTCACCCCTCACTATTTTTAGGGTGAGTGGGTAGGTAGAATTTTTTTGGGGGGGTGACTAGGGGCTTGGGGACCCCTAGTCACCCCCCAGGGTGTTTTATTTTTACATTTAGAGCCCCCACCCACTGCTCAAGGACCTATGCCCTCCCCATTGTTATTAGGGCCCCCATATGTCGCTAATGGGTAGGGGGGGACAGGACAATAGGTCTCCCCTCATTTTATCTTAGGGCCCTCACACGCTGCTCATGGGTGGTGGCCAGGGGGAGGACAATAGATAGCCTCTGCTAGAAAAACCCCCCTCCATGGCCCATTAGCCCTCAATTGTAGTCTCTACTGGGGCCTCGAGGGGATTATTGCATTTCTGTTCCTTGTGTCTAAAGATTGTGTTGGGTGTGGCTGGGACAAGGGTTGGGCTTGCTGCGGAGCATGGGTGGGGCCTGTAAGGGGGCCCTTGATTTATATTGCCTGGAGGCCCTGAGAGTTCTCAGTCTGCCCCTGATTACAATAAAGCACAAATAAATTGTCATTTAGGGCCCCCACCTGCTGCTCATGGGTGGGTGCTTTGGGGGGGGGGGGACAATAGGTCTTTTCCCACCCATTTTATCTTAGGGCCCCCACCCACCCCATTGTCATTTAGGGCCCCCACCCGCTGCTCATGGGTGGGGGCCAGGGGGAGGACAAGAGGTCCTCCCTCCATTGTCATTTAGGGCCCCCACCCGCTGCTCATGTGTGGGGATATAGGGGGAAAGGGACAATAGGTCTCCCCCCCTGGTTTATCTTAGGGCCCCACGCGTCGCTCATGGGTGGGGGCCGGGGAGGACAATAGGTCCCCCATATAGTTTAGTGGCCCCCCTCGTGGTGCACGAGTGGGTACTCGGGGTTGGGGACACTAATTGTTATAGGTTCCCCACCAAGGAGCACTTATTAGAGGCGTCAGGGGGTCTTTTTTACAACAGTACTACTACTCACTGTTTAGTAGACATGCCTCTACACACGGCATAGCAGGTAGGGGCAGATTAATTACTAATACTAAGCAATTTTTACTTAGTATTAGTATTAGGGAGCAATTTACTAAGCGGCTTCAAATAACCTGCGGCACAAATAAGATCGCAATTTCATTCATTCAAATTGAACAAACTGTTCCTTCTGTTAGGACGGAATTCGTTAGTTTAGCCGGTGTCCTATCTATATGACAGGACGCTGGGGAATAGTGAAAGGAAGCGTTGTGAGATCAAATGAGAATTGTGGGAAAATTCCTTTGACCGCCAGAAGTGTGTGAAAGCTGGTCAAGTGTAGGAAACCTCCATAAGACAAAGTAGTCCCTACTTTGTCTTATGTTTTAAAAAAAAAAAAAAAACTAGAGCAGACAGGAAGAAAAGAAGAACAGATCCTGAAAGAGGGAGAGAAGAGGAAGCGATTGGGGAAAGTTAAGTTCGGCATGACAGTGCCGCTTTAACTTATTTAATTACAGAATGATGCTGTTATTATTTCTCAATACAATATGTGTGTTTTCTGTGCTACTGTTCAGAGTGTCTTGCCATGTAATCATTGAAATAATGCCCTTGGGTATTTTTTTTTTCTGTTATTAGGAACTCAATTAATTTATTTTTAATCATGTCAGTTCACATCAAGTTTATGTTAGTATCTCACCTTAACTTAATATTTTAACATAAAATGTGAAAGCAAAGTATTTTGACCATTATTAAACCTTGGATAGAGATTGGATAATTGGTTGACAATTGTCGGAGAGATCAAGGATAGTTTGTAACCTTGCCAACATGCAATTACTTTTGTATCCTTTTGTGATCTGTGTATTGATTTTTACTGGAGCATCTCTATGGAAAACTAGTTTTATGCGTTAAAAGAGCAATAATATTGTATACAATGTATTTAAAGATAGCATACTAAGGTGTTAAATGGTTTTTTAGGAATACATACCAACAAGGTGTGGCCTGATTATTAAGAAATATGAACATTGTATTTTAGAGCTCTGTCTCTTTTTTGTTGTACAAAACATTAAACTATCCCTCACATCAGACATGCCCTTTGGGTGGAGTGGGTGGATATCCTTTTCACATCAGGCCTTTTCTTTGGGCAGAGTGGGTGGAGACCCATTTCATCTCAGGCCTGTTACTAGGTGAAGTGGGTGGGTACCCTTTTACACCAAGTCTGCCCTTTGGGATCCCTAAACTGGAAAATACTTTCATAATGATATTTCATGAGCAATTTATGCTGGAACATCAGATCTTGTTTTCTATGTGTAACATATTATCATTGTAATAGTGGTAATGTGAAGTTTGTGTACAGTGGCTCTTACAAAGATAATTAGAAATATAAAAATAGTAAAGCTGCTACCACCAATGTGCCGTCCTCTCACAACCTGGCACTTACAGAGTTAGTTGGATAAATATGCTGAGTGGTATGCAAAACTAATCCCAGTGGAAGGTGGAGCGCTCAGAAATTTGGAAATAACTTACTCCCCTTGGAACCCTTGCTAACCTAAGGGGGGGGGATAAAGAATAATAGTGTGGAATGTATAAAAATTATGTGAGTGAAATAACTCAATAGGAATTCACTCACGTGGTTCTGAGCCTAAACAGGACAGGCTCAAATCACTCAAGCGGACGTGTATTTGAGGAGACACGAATTCTTTAGGTGATGTTGCTTATATTCTCCCTCTGGAAAGGTAACAAATACCAATATCTAGTGTAGTAAGTCTAAGATATCAATGTATATAGGTGAATAAATGAAACTGCTCACCTTACATAGAGCCTTGAACTCGGCTCTAAGTTAAACAGCACGTGTCAATAAGAGGACACATACCCTTCTTTAAATATAGCAGGAACTCTGGATGCTAAATGCTGGATGCCACAGGAAAAGGTATAATAAAAAATACAATTTATTAAATAAAAATACAAAATATAAAATAACAAACAATAATAGTCAAAATTAAAAGTTCAATCCTGTGGGTGGTCCCGAGACGCGTTTCGCCTGGATGGCTTTTTCAATCGGTATCTGTGCCTGAGTTCCTGGTCTTCTTTTAAATGGTGTCGGTGGGTATCATTGGTGGATTGGTTCCCGCCCTCCTATTTGATCGCAGCTGTGATCTTCTCTTGTTTAATTCCGGTTTCGTCAACCGAAAGTGATGTAACGCTGTTATATGTCCATACATCCGGGCGAGTCCATTTTGTTTAATGGCAAGAAGTCTATATATACACAAATAAGCTCCCATAGAGATACGGAATAGGTAAATAAGGGCAAAATGAAAAAAGGAAAGTTAGGTATCAATATTGCAGTTAGGTTACATATACAATGTCACAGTTAAATAAAGGTATCACTGAAACATCACTTTTTCAGAGAGAGCTAACAAGCTTTTCCTATATAAAACTGATAGATTTGTTTCATGCAAATGGTGTAATAAAGTGCAAAGAGTGTCAGCAGTTTATATAGTAAAGAAATAGGTAGAAATCTTACATTATGCAGCAATGACAACATTAAAAAACCAAATAAAATCACTAGTACTTTATAATAAAAAATAATAGTTAAAAAACATCTATAATATAATATAAAAGGGGTTACAAGAAATGACAGAGCTCGAAATCGCTATTAAGACCGTGAGGTGTTAGTGTATTCAAGTTAAAAATCCATCTCACTTCCATTTGTCCTAAGCTTTTTATCAGGTCTTCTCCTCTCCAATTTGGTGTTAATTTGTATATACCCATAGATTTTAGATTATTGGGATCTTTGATATGTTTTT